AGCAGTCCAGAACCCATTGGTCACTCCAGGAATGAATTATGAATCCATGTTCAATTATAACAGACAGGGGCAGATGCAGGAATCCGCCGTTGGATGAAGACAGAGCTTAAAATGGTGTGCTGTAAACAAATTATAGCACGCCACGGGCGCGCAAAATTGATTCGATGGAGTAAACTGACTTAACATGTTCTCGATTTTAGTTTTCCGCATCTGCTTCGTACTCTGAATCGTTAGAATTTGTTCATGCATATGGTGATGCCTCTAAATCAATTTAATGAGGGGAGAGGTACGAGCCGCTTAGCCTCATACGTGAACACGCCGATGGCAAAAACTTCGAATCCGGCAATAGACTACTCCAGTTGCCACAGTATTTGCGTATTTGTGCGTAACATTTCACAACATAAGTGAAAGTGTATATGATAAAGATCGGGTGGTATTAACTGCAGGGAGCTGTGGACACATCAAAAGCTGAATGCCCAAGTGAAAAGAAATGTCGTAGTTATGAGTGAGACAGCAGGACAAGCGAGACTTCAACGGCGGGAGCATGTTTGACTCAAGAGACCCGACTTGGCCGGCCGAACTGCGGTAACGACTCCACGGTGACCTCGTGGAGTTTTCTACGACGTGAAGCGCAGTTCTTTAGCAAATGTAGACATTGACGAGACGTAGACGCTCTTCTGTGCAGACAGCTTCGAGTTCACACGGCTGATGACTTCAGGCCTGTCGATGGCAGTGGCTGCTAGACAAGCGCAGACTAAAGGACCCGAAATATCACCAGCAAAGGGGTGCTGACGCGAATCACCAGCTTGTTTCAGCACAGGGCGCTGTGGACCGGACCGCGGTTTGGTTCCGTGTTTCTGCATTATTGGTGAATGCATGTCCATTCTCCCGACCGCGGTTTGGTTCAGGGCATCATGTATTATTGGTGAATGCATGCCCATTCTCCCACAACGACCGAGTTATCCACGATCATTGCAAACCTCCTGCTGTTCTTTGTGCTAGGCAGGTGATGTACTGTGCCGCTATCGCCATTCACATGCGGTTAGTTGCATATCAAGGATGTGGCCAATGGGTGCGGAGGAGGATGCTCGCCCCTCCCCTTCCATTGATGACCTTGGCGTTCTGTGGGTCACCAGAGGGCCGCTTAAAGCTTCACCTTATTCGCCCGCCACTCACGTGGAGTGCAACGCGTGTAACGGATGATATTTCAGGCGTCAAAAGGGCGCCTATGCTCATTGTATCGTTACTTCTCTTGGAAGAGTGGGATGCAAAAGCGATGGATGAGCTCTTTACTGGGTTTCCAGAAGCGCTTAGGACCGTGGGATGGGCTTAAAGACCCAGCCTGGTCTGAAATGGGGTCCTGCGTAAAAAAGAATCGGACCGAATCCGAAACGAAACACACGCTTGGGGCCTGAGCGATGATTTGGGACCTCCTGGTTGCAGGGCTCCTCTGACAAGCTCCCTCTCACGTGTACTACGAGCTTGCGTTATCGTGTCCCGTGTGGCCTGAATGGCCGTCGAAGGCGCCCGATGAACCAGGGATTCGTGATTTCGAACCGTGCCATCTATCCGGGATTCGTTAATCCAAGCCGAGCCAAATATCAGGGATGCGTGTGTTCGTGCCGCGCCAAATATCAGGGGCGCATGAGTGCGGACTACGCCAAATATCAGGGATTCGTGGCTCCAAACCGCACCAATATCAGGGATGCCTGAGCTCAGACCGCGCCAAATATCAGGGATTGGTGGCTCCAAACCGCACCAAAAATCGGGATGCATGAGCCCAAACCGTGCCAAATATCAGGATGCATGAATCCGAACCGGACCAAATATTGTGGATTCGTGAATCCGAATCGTGTCAAATATCAGGGACTCGTGAGTCCGAACCGCGCCAAATATCAGGGATTCGTGAGTCCGAACCGTGCCAAATATCAGGGATTCGTGGGTCCGAACCACGCCAAATATCACGGATTCATGAGTCCAAACTGCGCCAAATATCAGGGACTTGTGAGTCAAAAGCGTACCAAATATCAGGGATTCGTGAGTCCGAACCGCGCCAAATCCCGACAGAACTTCCGCTGTTCTCCACTCGACAGCAGAAAACAGTCGCCCCTCGCCACCGGTCGTGTCACAGACGCTGTTCGCCACACGCACTGGCAGCTGATTACTTCTGCACGAAACGTCACTGCCAGTATGCGCGGACAAACACCAGATCAGTCTCGCTTCGGCCACGCCTGATCAGCGCCTGTCGTTACGCCCCCCCCCCCCTCTCCCCTCCCCCTGAGCGACCCACACAAGTCCGGCCCAGCCAGACTTGTGTGGAGCCGCAGCTATCCGGAGGCCCGAACGGACACTGTAGAGAAGCTTCCATATCCGGAGGCGCGAACGGACACTGTAGAGGAGCTTCCATATGCTGAGGGCAACAGGATACAACAGAGTGTTGACACGGAACTGATGTGTCGCACAAGAACCAGTTCTGCAACCGCCTTCTCACAAGGCGTTATACGTCGGGCGTTGACGCGTGGCTTGCCGCTGTTCAGCGTAGGGCTAGGATGCACTGTTGGTTCTATAAGCTCATGCCACGCTTTACACAGGAGATCATAGGTAATACTGGACCGCATCATTTGTGCGTGGATGTAGATATCTTGTTTTCATAAGCCTGACCACGTCAAGGCGTTAAATCAGACAAATATGTCAAAACGTGACGTCCGCCTGCTAGAGTCCCAGAAAGCAAAATCACCGAAATAACATAAGCGATAGTTGCGCACTTATCCAGGACTTGCGTACTTCCACGCCGTGCTTACGCCTCTACCTAGGCAGATAGTGCATGTCCAAACGACTTCGGAATTACAGGAAACTCGTTTGCTGAAATTAGCCGCCTGGAGGCACCCGTATCATGCCAGAAGTCAAGGTTAATGCAAGGGGCGTGACCTGAACTGACCTGCACTGAAACACCGTTGAGATCCGAGCAGAAGGTCTCGATCCCACACACATCCCCAAAATATCATGGCAGCACGCCACCGTGGCATGGGTCAGTTCTTGAAGGATTTCATCGACCTCCACGGCGTCTTGGCTCTGTCGAGACTCCGTCCGTTCATATGGAGATGAGAGAGAGTCTTCGTTGTTTAAAACATGCTCGAGCTAAGGCCACATACCAAACGCCTGAGTGTTTAGGTGCCTGAAGGCTACCCCTACAACCCTGCTGTCACGTTATTGTTTTTCGCTAGTTCATAACTGTTCTTTTAAGTCAAATTTTGGATTGGAAGGAAGTGTTTATTTGTTATCGTCATAGCGATCTGCATCGCACGTAAGCGATACTGCTGCAGCAAATGGCTACGACATATTGTTTTCGAGCCACCACTTAGGCCCTCTGCTGCGGTTTTGACATTGAATATGCTTTTCCTCGTGAAATATTTTCGCCTGTTCGCTTTTCACATATACGTATTAACGATGCGGCTCTAAACTGCGTAGCAAATTAGGCCTTTGGCACAATGAGAGACAACAAGAACATGACACAATGTTCTTTTTGTTTCCCTGAAATGAAGGAAGATATTGGTAGCCCGATGGTAATACCGGAGATGCTCATAACTTGCATTCTCTTGCACATGATTTGTTCTTCCCGCCATTTTCCGACTTGGCTTTTCGCGCTCAATGATCAAGGTATAGCTACATGTTTAGCGCCAGTGCACATCTGTATACGATCCGCTCTTTGGTTGGTCAATTATCGGAAGAGATATTTGCTCAGAACATCTGAGAAAATATATCAGACCGAATAGTTTCCTTGAATTCGCGGCATTTCCGGGCGTGAACTTAAAGCCGAATGTTTTACGCAGCCGGCTAAATATAGCCATGATGAATGATGACCCGATAATGCAGTCATATTTTAGTCAACATTTAACATGCGTCCCACAGGCCGGGGCACGAGCCTTATTTAATCGATGGAGTGTCACGAACGGCTGCACTCGGTATTAAATCGATACAACTGACACATTAAGGTCGCCAGGCTTTGTGTTCTGCTGCTGGAGATATCTTGCGCGCCGGTATTTCGGAAATGTGAAGACGCTCTCACAAAAAAAAAACACGGGAAGTTTGTGTTCACCTCCATTATACGTTTCCGCTTGTTTGGCGGTAGATTCAGGGGACGACAAAGGAAGAAGGATTTATCTTAAGAGACGGCTGTATAAATAGCTTCCTTATTTACTTTGCTTTCGAACATTCATTGTGTCGTTCCTCGCAAAGTGACATCTCGTGCTCTTTCCCTCGCGCCCGTGCTTCGTCTCGTGACAGAGCGCGTCAGATAGCCCTTGTGCATAGGCTTATAATTATAGCAGAAATGTGATGAACACATCGGCCCTCTGATGCTTTTATTATAATTATCGACACCTGCGCGGTCCTCTGATTGCAGTTTGGCGCTGATTGTCGACACTACTAGCGTTAATTGCCTTTCCACAGTTGACACATGACAGTTTGATTTGCAATCACGGTAGTAGGTATAATTTCCAAATCTAGCTGTCGTACTGATCTGAACGCCCGCGAAATATTTGCCTTGTGCAAGCTATCCCGCTGTTGGTGTACTGGTGCGTCACATCATGCCAGCGAACCAAACCCAGAGAAGACTGCCAGCTTGTAATGTCTCGGGCTGAGAATTAATCTCAATATTTTTTGCAACATTCGACGTTGCGGCTTTTTACGGGACCAGTTTGCAAAACCATTTGGAGATATTCCCTGAGGTTGAATAGAAGCATTCGGTTTTGTATGTTGATATCAAGCAGACCATTGATTCGGACAAATGACGTAATCAAAGCCTTGTTCCAACATTTCTGGAGTTCAAAAGCGCCCATTTACGAATCAAAACCCAAAGTTTCGCAAGAGGACTACACAGTATCCAGCCCCCTTTCCGGTTCGACAGGTGAGTAGGACTGAGGGGCCATTGAGCGTGACGGGGTCTGGTGTCGCCCGCAGGCGATGTGACTCGATGAGCTGGAGGAGATGCGCGCCCTAGCATGGGTCAGCTGCAGAGCCGCGGTTCGGTCTGGAAGGACCCCGGGGCGGCGCTTGATCGCGTCATCTCGCAGTCTCACGAGGAGGGGCAGTGCTTGCTCTACAAGCTGGCCAACTACAAGAAAGGTAACCGCCGCGCACGCGCCGGTGGGAGCCGGTACTCCGCCGGAGCTGGTGCCGGGCCGTCACGGGTGGTGCTCCGCCGGAGCTGGTGCCGGGCCGTCACGGATGGTGCTCCGCCGGAGCCGGTGCCGGGCCGTCACGGGTGGTGCTCCACCGGAGCTGGTGCCGGGCCGTCACGGGTGGTGCTCCGCCGGAGCTGGTGCCGGGCCGTCACGGCTCACCACGCCTTCAGCCGAGCGACTGTAGACGTCAGCTGTATAACAGCGTAAAGGAGACTGCAGTGCTAGTCGCTACCATTTTCAATGCAAGTTAAGCCGGCCTAAGTGCTGCATTCATTTCGCTGCAGCTGAATCACATCCACAGCATAGGCGTGATGTGACGGATGGTTGCTGCCGCATGACCACGCTTATCAGATCACCGGCCGTTCCGCCTGCGGCGATACAACCACAGCTGACCCCAGCCTGACCCGCGGGTGCCGCAGGCCTGCGACCACACAACCAGAGCTGACCCCAACCTGACCCGCGGGTTGCCGCAGGCGGCGGCCCACACAACCAGAGCTGACCCCAGCTTGACCCGCGGGTGCCGCAGGCGGCGGCCACACACCAGAGCTGACCCCCAGCCTGACCCGCGGGTGCCGCAGGCGGCGGCCACACAACCAGAGCTGACCCAGCCTGACCCGCGGGTGCCGCAGGCGGCGAGCTGCTCGACGCGTACCGGATCGGCGGCGGGCGGGAGGTGGAGAAGCTGATCCTGGACCAGTTCTCCGTCTTCATGTACAACGAGGGCCGCGGCAAGGAGATCACGCGCACCGAGTACCTCAAGTGGAAGCTGCGGGGCAAAACACGCGACGAGGTACGACGCTCGTGCGGAGGTGCGGCGGCAGGCACGATGTGCACATTGGTACAGATGCGGGTGTAGGATATGCTTCACGGACGGAATGTTGTTCTAACTGTCGTCCTCGTCTGGTGTGGTGATATGCACACAAAGTTTCGACCAGTTGACCCTCCGGCTGTCGTCAGGCGTTTGTCTGAGCTAGGGTCTGCGGGATGTACTTGTAATGTATCTATTACTTAACTTATTAAGAAAAAAAGTTTAACTTTATCGGGTAACCAATTACAGGAAAAAGACAAGTGTCACTGTAGTTCGAATATCTCGTTTAAAGCTCAAATGAGTGTGAGGGAGGTAAACACACGCAAATGGAAGGAGCAAAGTGTCTTGGGTCTAATACAGCAGCCCAAAAGTGAGGTGTGCTCAAAATTGAGGAATAAATTGTTCATATCTAACGGATACCCATCGAGCTTGGTTCAAAAACCAACTTTCCCGTCAGGACCGCGTTTTTCCTACGGGTACCATGGTTCATTTATCGACAGTGCGACGCATTCCTCAACAAAACGTACTTTTGTCCTTGTACGTCTGTTATTTAGCCATGGAAAAGCTGTGATGCGAAGTAGGTTGACTCTTTCAACCTTTTTCTATAGCATGAACATAGCTTATAAAAGTATTTGCAGTTATGTATATTATCAATAGCTAACAACTCCATATTGCCATTCGGCCTGACAACCAACTGTTCATGGGATAAAGTGCCGATTTTTAGAATTCAACCTTGATGTCTGGCATATATGTCAGGGGTAACGCTACGGAAAGCCAGGGGCGTTGATTCGTATGCTGGAGTTCCGCATCATTGCTTCGTGGTAGGTAACATACAAGCCATGGATTTGCGTTTAGCACGGGGTGAGTTCTGCCACTAAGGTGTCTGCCTTTTTGTTTTCGTTGAATGCGCCGAGCATCTTGCGTAAAAACAGTGGCGTACACAGGAATCCCCAATAGCGGGGTGGGTATGGGAGGGTTGGGGAAAGGGTACAACTCCAATATTTATCTGAAATACCAGCTTAATGCTGCTCGCGCAATTTATTTGTAAAACTTGCAAGACACCCGTATATTTTCTATTTCTTTAGTTTCACATGTGTATTTCGAATTCTGACCGCCAACATTCATACATGCTTTATTAACGCATACAGTTAATTTGATAAGAGAAGAGGAACGTGTTCTGGGGCCGCTACGTGAATACGCTCCTGTTAAAAGACACAAAGCCCTCAGACGCTGAGGTGTCACTTTGTATACTTCGGGATGAGTCTCCCCCCCCCATGCATATGAGCAAAAAATGATGCTGAGCCAGTGACATGCAGCAACTGTCTGAACTACTATTACACTAGGTACTTCGAAACATCACTATCAAAATCATCATCATTTACCACCATTATGCTATCACTATTGCCTGCAATGGTAAGCAATTCCTCAACATTAAAAGTGCTTTGGAACTGACCTTATTTTCTGGTTAGAAGTCTAAGTTTGAATCGAGGGCGCAAATCAACGCAGCTGAAATCCGGAGAAATCTGAATGTGCGGGTTAAGTTAGGTCCATTTATTTTCTCAGCCCCCCCCCCCCCCCCCCCCCCGAACCGGCTCAAAAGGAATGTTCCACAACTGAAGATATTGAAGCAAGCTAATATGATGAAATAAGCTCGCTTATAACTGTTGATATGCTTTTAAGTGGAAAAGAATGCTGTAGATAACACAATATCTCTGTTTAGTAAGTTTTCCTCAATACTTAGTTGCTTGATTACATCATCGTACCTTGCACAACATTGATTGAGGACAATGGATTACCGTTATATCCGAAAATTATGCTCACGAACGCCAAATATGAACGTCTCGACAATTATATTTTTCTTGACCTTAATTGCCGCATGGCTAATGGAATGACAGGATTTAAATGACGCTATTATGATGTCATGGGTGCCTAAGAAAACCTTGCAATAGTCTCCCCGAAATAGTCCGCACATCTTCGCGGGCGTGTAGCTCAGCATCTCTAGGGGCTTAGGTCTTGGAAAGCGCAGGGCTGTGAACCGCACGGAATGATCCTTTAAAATGACGATTTCGGTTCAAAACCCCATCAGAAATGTGGAACGGGTCCCTCTAAGCAACTGGCACTCCTGTATTAACATCACACAATATTTTACATTCAAGCAGTAGACAAACGTTGATAGCATAAGCCCTCTGAGCTCCTTTCAACACTCACAAATTAGAAAACAACGCAAAGCAATGGCAATATGCGTGGGTTTTCAATGGCATCTGCAAGATCCACGTGTGCCACAATTCCGGACGTTAAGACGGGGCGAAGTGAAGGGAATGCTCTGAATACCACAAAATTTGAACCGTCATCGGGACGCTAAAAAAAATGTGGTAGCATCTGGCCGTCACATTAGGGACAGACCTTTTTCCTCTTCCCCTTTTCCCCCTACCCCACGCATGCTTTGATCCGCTCTCAGTGAGTAGAGTGCTGAACCAACAGAATCAGTGATCGCATTTGGGGGGTGCCTCTTCAGCAGGTCGTCGCAAATTTTTATTTTTTTTCCTTAAAGAAAACAGCATTTCGTGTCTACTGGTTGGATTAGTCCGCGGGTTTTACCAACGCCTATAGATGACGGTGTTTTGTGGCTCCCGACTTTTCATCTGGTGCTGAATTGGACACGTCAACAACACGCGACGCTAGTCTTCAAGGTGATGATCAGGCGAAATTGCCTCCGCGTAAATCCATAGCTCATCCGATTTGGGGAATCGATGGTCCAGTTTTGTTCCTTAGATGCATAGAGAACCAACGAAAAAACTAACTGTGAGCCGAAATGCCATTGGGATTATAAACTAAATGGAACTGCTTACGAATACGACTATAAATCTTCTGATGGGATTTTCCTCTTACCCGGCATTTGCTGGATGAGGGGTCATCCATCCATGGGATGTTATGATAAGTATGGAAGGGATGAGGGCGATGTATAGCAAAATTTATGGACGGCCCCTGGGGTACTTGTCACCTTTCATTTGCTGAGTGGTGGCGGAGCGTATGACGTCTGTTAGATATTTCCTGAACCAATCAGCTGATCGGGATGACTCAAAATGCTAAGTCGAATGGATGTGAGACTCCAACATACGTCAGTTTGCTGGCCTGCAGGCTACTGATGACCTCACTTATTATGTCAGAAGGTCACGTTTGTTAAGTTGTTAAGATTGCTAAGCTATCCCAAATCATCGCAATACTGCGACCAAATGGAACGGCAATATGAAGCTCTGTTTGAGTGAAATACGCCAGGCCAGCTGTGCATGTTTGCAGACTCAGAGCCGTCCAGACCCGGCCACATCAAACTATTTGGACGCACTTTTGCTCAAGCATGTTTGCATGCACCCATTCCTTTATGACCGGACGGATGGCGGTGTGCGGTGGTGGCAATAATGCAGGTCGAGGATGTCACGAATAAAAGGATGATCCTCTCATAAAGGGTGCTCCCTGTCAGCCTCTCTTCCCATGTGTGGATCGCCAGCTATTGCCAGGGGAGGTGTTTCTTCGAAGCATTTTCAACGGGCTTGGACTTCAACGCAGAGTTCGTGATTACGGGTAGAGTGATGCGTGTTGGACGCGTGAAGACCATCGAAACAATTTTAACCTTAGCTTTTAGCGCAGCATGATGTTGGTAGCCAACGCACCCTGAAACCCCAATCAACAGCAGCCAACGCTGCTAGCTGTTGGGTTATGCCGACAACTGTCTCGAGATGCCGTCAAGTCTTTCAAAGCCAAGAAATGCGCCGCACCGTTGGTCCCGAATTGTTTCAAGGTTCAGGACGCCGGAGCTGCAGCGAAGGGGGGCGGGGCAGGGGCAGGGGCAGGGGGCGCGTGACCGGCCGGCTGCGTGACCCGGCCGGCTTTTGTGCGCCGAGCGGGCCGTGCCAGTCGGTACCAGGACGACTGTGAGACTCGGCGCGTGCCGAGCGCCCCTATATACGGACACACGACCACCGGGTATGATGCCCTGTACATCGGGCTGCCTCCCTCCCTCCCCCCTCCCTCCCTCTCTCTCTCTCTCTCTCTCTCTCTCTCTCTCTCTCTCTCTCTCTCTCTCTCTCTCTCTCTCTCTCTCTCTCTCTCTCTCTCTCTCTCTCTCTCTCTCTCTCTCTCTCTCTCTCTCTCTCTCTCTCTCTCTCTCTCTCTCTCTCTCTCTCTCTCTCTCTCTCTCTCTCCCCCTCTCTCAACAACAACAACCCCTATGCTCTAAGCCCGCGCTTAGCTTAAACCAGCCACACGAACCCTACACGTGTGAGAAGAGCAGCTGCGTTCCGTGCACGCTTGTCACGAGCGTTCGCAGGCGCCCGCCACACGCTGGCCGATCGGCGCTGACTACAGCCTTGCGCGCCTCCGCCGGCAGTGCGCCTTGAACATGGAGCCCGGCGAGAAGAGTCGCTTCGACCCGCTCAACTTCTGGCAGGACCACGAGGCCTGCTGGCAGATGCAGTATCGCGGCAACCTCGGCGAGACGCTGCTGCACATGCTCATCATCTGCAACACGCGCGCCCACTCCCGCATCGCCAAAATACTGCTCAAGTGCTTCCCCAAACTGGCTGTAGACGTCGTAGAGGGCCCAGAGTACCTAGGTGAGGACTGATGCCCGAGGTGCGCCGGTGGGTTGGCTCAGACGTCCTCCTGCATTTCGCTGTTCCGAGGCGTGGAATCGGCCCAAACAGTTCACGGCTGATAAAGTGACCCCGACCGCTGTGCTTCCCTTCCTCGTATGTTGTTCCAACGGCGTTCCCGAATCCCCTTCCCTGTTGGGTACGGTCGTGCTACGGATTGTCTTTGTGCACTTGTTCATATGCTCTAGTGTGCGCGTAGCAATCTGCACGTATAGATAGGTTTTACGTACATGGGGCATTTCGCTTTAAGGCCTTTGCCGATACATTTACAGCTATCCCACCTGAGAAATTAATAAAGCAATTGTTAACGTGAAAAGAGGAAATTCACCACATCCTCGTAACATTGTTGTGGTTAGACACAATTATATCAACAGCCTGAAATAAAAATTCGTTCATAATTCTACAAATTACAGGGTTATATAACCTACCAACTTTTTTGTGTGCGTATGGTTTGCAGGTGCCAGTGCCCTGCATTTAGCAATAGCGTATAATAACAATGAAGTGGCGACGCAATTGATAGAGGCCAACGCAAAGGTAGATCAACGTGCCATAGGTGAGTGTTATTTTAATAATTGCAATGCTTCTTTGCTCTGTCTGTGTTGTTTCTTTGACTATCATATCACCGTTGAGAACATGCACAATATTGCCGCAAGCGTTGACAATTTTTAACGTGTTTTGTCGCGGAGCTGACCAACAAAACGTCCCGACAATATTGCTTGTCGTCGTGGTATGGTGAGACGCTTGTAGACTACTTTTTGCCATAAGCTTAAATTGTGGGCTATAGAGAAAGCCGCGGACATTGACGCTATTACATGGATCTCGACCCACCATCTGGTTTACCGAAGAGTTTTCATTCCTTCCACACAAAGACTCTGATCCTTTGGTCGCCAGGTCGACATTTGGTATCGCTCTTATTTTTCGTGAAGCGCACGCTCAATGCCCGTTCTTTTAGCTGAGAAGTGTGCATGGCAGCGCGACACGAACAAGCGCATTATAAAAGCCGGCCTCTTGGCGTGGGTAACCACGACAGCGTGGCATATGCGCACCGCGTCAACCATGCCTTCCGTCATCGGAAACTGCAGCGCGGTCAAAAACAAAAACAAAAAAGCACCGCGCGCACCATGTTCGACGGGCTCTGCGATGACTGCTAGGCCGTCGTGTCCTGGCCGGCGCACCGAGCGCGCGCAGCACGGACGTAACGTGTTGGTCGGCGCGGCAGGCAGCTTCTTCCTGCCGCGGGACCAGCAGCGGGAGGTGCCGCGCACGCAGACCGACTACGAGGGCCTGGCGTACATGGGCGAGACGCTGCTCAACTGGGCGGCCTGCTGCAACAACGAGACCTGCTACAACCTGCTGCTGGACCGCGACGCCGACCCGAACGCCCAGGACTCGTTCGGCAACATGGTGCTGCACATGATCGTCGTCTGCGACAAGCAGGTGTGGCCGCCCGCCCTGCGCTGGAGCCGCGTGCTGACGCGTGGTGGCGGTGCTGCACGCCCAGAGGAGGGTTCTTTACTTGGCCGCTGAGCTACACGTGCTCGCTGGTCTTCCGAGGTCAAGTGGTGGACATGGCTATGATTTCTAACTTCACTTGCGTAGACTTTTGCTTCGAGTAATCGTTCCTGTTTAAAAACCTCACCGCATTGTCCATGTTTAGCAGTACCCAGCTCGCCAATGTGTGGCAGCAGTGTGCAGAACAATTCACCTCTGTGTTGTCTTCTACCCATCCCATACGGTTGTTTTACGGAAATAGGTAGATTTCTGGCAGTCTAGAGACGACTGCGGAACAGCTGAAGTTGTCACAACCTCTACATGGTCAGGGTGCCCACGAGGACGCGCTTGGCCTGACGGCGAATAGTTTCAGAGCTGGTGCTATGATGCGTGCGTGTGTGTAACATGAGGGGCACTCGGTGGTACTGCTTTCATCCATTATCACAGGGCAAAATCCAGTCAGTGATGATATTTTTACTCTTGACTCTTGACTATCATCAGCTGGCCCTCGCTACCGTCGAGGCGAAGGTCAGACGATAATAGCTTCTCGACTCATCTGTCCCAGGGCGAGGACCAGTCGAAGAAGATGTCCTGATGTCTTTGACCCCAGGGTGGGGTTCACCCAGTGGTGACCTGACCACTGTCCCCAGGGCGAGGGCCAGTCGGAGGAGATGTTTGGCTACGCGCTGCGCCACCCCAAACGGCCGGCCAAAAACGGCGTGCTGAACCGGGTCGGCCTCACCCCGCTGACGCTGGCCTGCCGCCTCGCCCGCTCCGAGATCTTCCGAGAGATGCTCGAGCTCACCTGCATCGAATTCTGGCGCTACTCTAACATCACCTGCTCGGCCTACCCGCTCAACGCGCTCGACACCATCGGACCAGACGGCAAGACCAGTGAGTCGCACCCGGAGCGGGCTGGCTCCGGGGTAGAGAGCGGGCTGGCTCCGGGGTAGGGAGCGGGCTGATCCCGGGATGGGGAGCGGGCTGGCTCCGGGGTAGGGAGCGGGCTGGCTCCGGGGTAGGGAGCGGGGTGGCTTCGGGGTGGGGAGCGGGCTGGCTCCGGGGTAGGGAGCGGGCTGGCTTGGCTCCAGAGTAGGGAGCGGGCTGGCTTGGCTCCGGGGTGGGGAGCGGGCTGGCTCCGGGTTGGGGAGCGGGCTGGCTCCAGGGTGGGGAGCGGGCGCTGCGAGGAACGGAAGTGCACGGACGGCTCGATTTTGGTAGGGCTGGATGAAGCTGCGCGTGGCAAAGAAGGAAAACAGCTGGTTTGAGTTGTAACGTACTGTTACAATGTGATTGGATGGGAACTGGCTTTTCTCTCCAACAGGCTGTTTTCTATAGGCAAGTTGTTCCTATTAGCGTCTTTTTGTGGGGTCCAGACAACTCACCCTACATATTCGTGCTCCCAGACTGGAACTCGGCGCTTATGATGATCCTTAACGGCAAGAAAGACGAGCACCTGGACATGCTTGAGGGTGGCATCATCCAGCGCCTCCTGGAGGAGAAGTGGCAGTGCTTCGCCCGGGTTTGTTACATTTCACGGGAACAATTTGCGCAGATAAAACATGCAGGCAGTTGAGATGTTTTGGCCGCCGTGCGATTGCGTGCCCTTAAAAATCGAAGTTGTTAGAGTGTTTTGGGATCTATTTTGAACCAGATAGTGGTCTACATCGTGTGTGATAATTTCGACGAAACTAGCATTACTTTCGATATTGTGACGAGACAAATCGATTGGGAAACTAAAATTGAACGTGACATTGAAACTGGCTACCCATATTAACGTTGTTATGCCTTCACCAGCCGTAACCGACAGCAGGGCGACCACTTCAACCACATAAGTTCTTGTTCGCCCGCCTTTGTACTGTTGGCCAGCGCTGGATGCTTATTGGGATTTCTGGCTTGGTCAATTTTTTTCGGAACTAGTGAGGGATTAAGACTAATGCTATGGCCGATCACTGAACACGCGAGACATTTATGAACTGGATCAATTCGAGCCCCACCGATTTACCAAAACACAGCGTTTTTCTGTACCTGTCAGGCCGAATTCCTGCGTAAGCTGATGATCATGATGATGCACCTGCTGTCCATCTCGCTGGCGATGTACCTACGGCCGGAGTATGGCCAGACGCTGACCGGTACCACGTCCAAAGACATCGCCCGCTACTGCTTCGAGGCCACCACGCTGCTGGGCTGCATGTACTATTTGGTGTTGCAGTCGGGCAGCGAGATCAAGAACCAGGGTCTCGTGCCCTTCATCATACAGCTGGTAACACGGGATACGCTCCTCACCCTGGCGAACTTGGGTCAAGGACAAGGAAGAGTGTGTTATATGGATGCTACGTGTTAGCCATATAACTCAACAGTGTGAACTCCATGAATTGCTGGTTAGCTGAATTTTCAAACCATCATGCGCTGTAGAAGTCGTGATGTGCTAGGTCAGCACACACGAATGGGTACTGATTAAGGCTGGCTAGATATCTCGGGAAAAGAATGATATGAATACAGGGAAAGACCTCGATGAATGCCGTGTGTGTACATAAAGATGCTTCAAGAAAGGGCATAAGACGCTTGGGTTCCTGCTTCTGTGTTGTCATCATAAGCAGCATCAACACCATTTTCGTAATAACAAAAACAATAACGGCGGATCCAAGTTTAAAGAGTCTTTAAGATGCAAACAAGTACGCAGTTTACATTGGCTCGAGGCGAGCTAAGGTCAGCCAGTTTGGCCAATTGCGGGTCTGAGTCAAGACCCGCCACGAGCGAGGGCACCGTCCCTCCGGTTCCCGCGGCGGCGTGTGCGCGTGTGCCTCTGACTGCGGGCCGGCGCCGGCTGCCGTCCCACGTTCCACTTCCCCCGTTCCAGTTCCACGACCCGATCCAGCTGGCGTTCAACATCTCCAACCTGGCGCTGGTGGGCTGCGTGCCGCTGCGCGTGTTCGAGCTGCGCGCCGTCGAGGAGCTCGTGCTGACCGTGGCCGTGCCCGGGTCCTGGTTTCATCTCATGTTCTTCGCTGGGTGCGTGTGCCGCACACCGCGAGCTGGCAGGCAGAAGGGATCTTTCGCAAAGCTGGTGGCACTGTTGGTATATGTCCTCGCTCGCCGATTGCCAACCAGTGTGTCACGCGTGTGACGGCGGCTGTGGAGAGCAGTATCGAGGGTGTGGCCGTTTGTGATCGTATTAAGTGGTCTTTCATTGATCCACTTCTAACGCATGGCAATCGTTAATAATTAGCGTGCTGAGCTGTCCTTGACTTTTCATTGAAATTGCATGGAAAAACTTATCCGCAGATGTTCTCTGACCATCCCCATTCTGCTTCAGGGCAATTCAGCTGACTGGCCCGTTCGTCACGATGGTCTTCAAGATAATCACCAACGACATGGTCACCTTCTTCATCATCTACTCCATATTCCTGCTGGCCTTCACCCAGGCGTTCTTCTTTCTGTACCGCGGCACGCCCAACCGTGCCACGTCCAAGTTCACCACCTACATCGACACGTGGATGGGTCTTTTTCACATGACACTCGGCGACTATGATGTACGTCACTGGCGACGGCCCTAGTCGGTGCGGCCCTAGTCTCGGTGACTATGATGTGCGTCACTGCCGACGGCCCTAGTCGGGCGGCCCTAGTTTCAGTGACTTTGATGCAGGTCACTGTCGACGACCCTAGTCGGGTGGTGAACACGGCAGAACTGAATTTGCTGGGAGGGTGTATGCTCTTCATAGTCGATTCTGTTATTTTTGACACTTTTTTGGAAAACGGTCTGAACTTAAACGTTGTCGTTACAATGGTCTGCAGTAGCGGGATAGTCTAAGGTGTGTACGTGGAATATTGGCACCAGCGACGAGGCGACGAAGCAAAGCGATCAGCGACGAAACTTCTTTTCCAGCTGTCTTTGCATGGCGGGGTTCGAAAACTCCAGCAGTGTGTAACAATACGCATTCTGTCACCTCAACAGCTGATAGCTGACTATTCCCTATGGATGTTTCCAACATGGCGTCTGTCTGTGTTTCAGTTCGGAGAGCTTTCGAGGAGCGCCTACGCCCCGCTGACGCTCATCACGTTCGTCTTGTTCATGGTGTTGGTGCCGATCCTGCTGCTCAACATGCTGATCGCCATGATGGGGAACACTTACGCCACCGTGGTGCAGCAGAGCGAGAAGGAGTGGGTCAAACAGGTGCTGACTGTAGCTTGACTGCACGCATTGCCCGAATGGCCATCCACGATAGCAACAGCAGCATGGTTTCACGCATGATTTTGCTAATTGTATCGCCGTCCCCCAAGCTCGGTGCGCACTTAACTAGACGTCGGACCCCTCGGGTCATCAAAGCACGGAAGCAATTTCGCAAAATTGGTTTGGGAAGCTGAGCAGTGAAAATTGGTGAAGCCTGCCCCGTAAAGTATGAACTTAATCCCCGGATTGGGCCCACTTTCTCATCAAAGTTGGACTGGACTCCAAGTTGAGAGAAAGGGATCTGAAGCTCCCCTCCAACTGAAGAGGAAACTAAACCCCTGCACCGAAGGGTTGCCCGAATGGGCTATCCTGCAAAACATTCGGTCAAATTTATCCTAAAATTAATGTGGCCAAAAGTCTTCGGCGCCGAGTTCAGTCCGTAAATTTTCAGAATTCGGAACTGAGTTACGTGTCTGCTTGAGGTGGGCGTAAAAGTCTGCAAGGACGTGGCGAGGCGGGCCGGCCAGCCAAGCGCTTCGTGGACATTCAAACCTTCTGATATTTTTCGTCCGCTGATCAGGCTCTTCGCAAAAGTCACGACTGGTTAAGTCACGACTGGTACGGACAAGTCAGTTTCCGATACCACCACACCGTTTGGCGGAGCTGTTTGAACGCGTTCAGTTCGAAATGAGCCCCGCCCTGCTCTCCAGTCAGGTCACGTGCTCGCGTAGCACGTCTCCGCGAACGCTGGATTCTACGACGCGCATGACGTTGAGTATGAAATCAATCCCGAGGTCTGACTATTGGGATCTGGCCCAAACAATTTGCGGAGGTCGAGGGATGATCGGTGATTGGTTGCCCAGATCACCACGTGACCAACTATATCAGCTGGCGGTGGGCCGAGGACCGCAGCGCAGTGCGCGCCGGTCGCTACTACAGTGGGTTGGTGCACTAGTCACGCGTTAACGCAGGGCCTTTTCCGCTCTTCTCGGCCTTTTTGTGTCCTGAGAGGTGTTTGCGGGTCGAAGTTGTAGATCGACCCGAGGTTTTCCTGACGTGTGACTCCCCTACTGAGAGCCATCACATCACTTTACACAGAGTCGCGCTACTCATGAACGCCCGGATTTGGATCCCTCTCAGCAAATGACACCAAAGTCATCAGGCCTAGTGCAGCCGTGTCGGTTATGTAACTTCAGCAGCTTAATGCATACCAAAGAAGCTCCTGAAGTCAAGCCGGAGCTCCAGTGTTTGCCACCGACATCATGCCGCTCCAATTTCCTTCGTTATTTCTCCGTACCGCCGCGGTAATCGCCACCAAATCACGGCAAGCCCGGACCTCCTTCCGCGACTCGCAGCGCCCTCACGTGACCGGCCGAGGCGGCGGGGTCCGGCTGGGCAGTAAAGCTCACCCCTGAGAGTACCCCGCTAATGCAGCGGCCGCGTTGCGTGGCGACCGCGTGCCGTGAGGAGCCCGGGAAACGGCCGGCCGGCACGGAAACGGGCCGAGAACGCCGCCGGCGCCGTATGAAACATGCACGGCTGCGGGTCACAGGCCCTGGCCGAGTCCCGGACCGCCTTCAGAGGTCGCATCGACGACGGCAGGGGCGAGCCCGGTGTCGCGTGCCTCCGGTGATCGCTGCGTGATGCGGCCGCTCGCAGCGGGGGCGGTTCCAGGAGCGCTGAGTTATGTCATGTCAAGACAAACTGCAGCGGTGCGCCGGTGAGGGATGCCGTGCTCCACGAGGCAGTTACGGCACGGCACGTCCCGCTTGGCCGTGATGGAGTGTGCGCTCGCGCGGAGTGATAACCCGGAATCGGTGAAGCACCGCATAGCGGCACAAAGCGACGATCACAGCGGAACACGTGTCAGTCTCACGTTGCGCTAAACGATGCCGCCTTGTAAAGAACGTGTCACCCATGCAGCCCTTCAGGTGCAGACAGGCAACTTCCAGGATGAGGCTGTCGAATGCGGGGCGCGAACAAGTAAAACGAACCAAGTACAAGGAATCGTGTGGAAATCGGGAGCACTGAGGGAAGGCTCACTTTTGGGTGGCATTAGTTTTGTTTTCGATGCAAGGTCCAGGCTAGCGGCGAGACGTGGTCATTCGATGTAGACCGGCGTGAGTTCTTCAAGCTGCCTGAAGGAACGCTTATACAAAAAATGTGTTATAAATCACTTTCATGCTTATCCGTTCCTCAACTGAAGCAAAATATTTCACAGCATTCGAAATGAGCCAACAGCATGAATGCGTGATTTGAACGAAATTGCAGGTGAACTCTCCTTTTGTTTTGAGTCTTGCTGTGCACCGGCGGCTTTCCTTCCCATGCGCACGTGATTCCACGTAAGCTTTGACGGCGACAAAACGATGGCGAATTGTTTAACACGCGTCTGGATGGCCGGTTGAATGCCCATCGCTTGGGTGTGGCATCAGTTTGACCCGTTAAGATCTCAAAAATCAAGAGGGTGGGAGGCACCAAACTCACGGAGTATGTTGGCCTGTATGTGAACCCAGTTTTGTTTAAGTTTAGGGTTCCTAGTTCATTATTTTCTGCTCAAATAAAGTGCCTGCCTCTCACCCTGGCAGGAAGGGCGGGCACCGCGGGGAATCGAGCCTGTACCCATGGTTTCCCAGATGCGCAGTAGGTAACGCGGAAGTGTTAGCCACTGCACTACCGGCACCCTATCAAATAAGATCAAGCAAGGTCAAAGCCCAGACTGGCGTCGAAAGTGCGCCCAGACCCTCCCAAGCAACCACCGTGAACCTAGATACCTGTTCTAAGCAAAAGGTCACTGATTCTCACTTAAGGTTAGTGACCTTGTTTGTCCTTGAGAAGATCATGGTGACCAAAATCATACAACATTGCTTTGATTTTTGCACTTGGGCGAATGTCAATGAGTACGCTGGGCGGTATGTTACCAAAAACAAAATACTGATCCGGGTCATTTTAGGTCAGTAACCTATTCTAACCTTGAAGAAGTTCATGTAAGATGTATGATGCGGTCTTTGTCATCACTAAATTCAAAATGAGCCCCAGAAACTACCTCATGCAGCAAGCTCTCCAGTAAAAAACAGTCTGGCTTTGACCTTGGCCTGACCTTTACACCTGACCCTAGGTCAATGAAATATGTTGATTCAATTTCTGTGTTGCGTGAGATACTATATCAGAGATGTATGGCCTCGCCCAGCACTCGGTTGTTGCTTTAGATTAAACGATTCCCGAGAATTTGCCTTCGCTGAATCCATGACCTGACTTTGACCCTCCATAGTTCAGTGACCTCACAAAGTACAATTAAAGTGTTGGCACCAAAAGATTCGCTATTCCGTTCTCTTCAGCAAGGCAAAATTTGGCGTGGCTACGCAGTCGCTTTTTTATATATCATTCAGTAAAAACCTCCCGGGGTGGCCAAACTAACCGCATCCGAGCGCGTGTTTAAGTGCTGTGGGGTTTATTGAAGCTTTTGATACTTGTAATCAGCCAGCTGTACGTTTAACGCCCAGCGAAGTCAGTATTCAAGCTGCCGAGTTCCTAAACGAACATTGCGAAAATCACTGAAACAAATAGTGAGTGTCAGTGAAATATACGCGCACGTTGGATCAGGCTGGTGCTGTAGGTGTAATGGTCTGAAACAATGCCCCCACTGCTCCAGTTCTTGCCGAGGCTGATGAATTCAATCTGTCTCAAGTACCAACTGGGCCAAGCCCCTAATACAACTGGCAACCGAGCCATGTCGACGCTACACATGAGCATGGAGCGATGAGTCACGTGGCCAGAACCTGAAAGTTATTTCAAGCTAACATGTTTGTAGCGTTGAAGGTAGCAAGGTGGGCGCAAGGCTGCTGTTGGCGGATCCCACCGCCCATCCCCGTTTGGGAAGCTCGCCCTCCCGTCTAAGAAGCTCACCCTCCCGCTTGAGGACCGCACCCTCCCTGCCGGGGAAGCTCATCATCCCCGCCTGGGAAGCACGCCCTCCCCGCCGGTGAAGGTCATTCTCCCCGCTTAGAAAGCACGTCCTTCCGGCTTTGGAAGGACACCCTCCCCGCCTGGGAAGCATACTCTCCCCGCCTGGAAAGCTCACCCCGCCGCCTGAGAATCTTACCCCTCCCCGCCTGGGAGGCTCACCGTTCCCGTCTTGGAATCTCACCCCTCCCCGCCGGTACCGCAGTGGGCCAACATCGTCATCACGCTGGAGCGTGGCGTCGGCAGCGACAAGTGCAAGTCCAACCTGGAGGCGTACTCGCTGCCGCTGCCGGGCGGGGACGACCGACGCGGCGTCGTCGTCATCAAGTCCAAGTCGAAAACGCGCGCTCGCCAACGCAAGGGCGCGCTCACCAACTGGAAGGTGGGCAGGCATGGGGCCACGGGAAACTCTTCTAAAGCTTGGTATGGAGGCTTTCAGTCTGAAGAAAGCAGCTTACCTGGTCCAGTGGTAACTGATGCGTGGTAGAATCAAGTAGGAACCGTACTGTTAGAAAACCTGTCGCGCTTCTCTCACGCATTGTTTTCACTGGAACGTTGTGAATGCTTGATGGTAGGGAGCAGTTGAGGCCAGTGGTCCAAGCTCCATGTGTCGATGCAGCGACCAGTGATGCCACCAACAACATATGCAACGGCCAAGACTGCAGGAAATGTGGCAATGAGAACAGGTAACGAAAGCGACGCTATAATACCATTGCTCAACGCTGTCCCACCTCCGGCGACTCACGCACGGCCCGGCCCCACTGTCCACCTGTCGGCCCCACTATCCTCCTGTCTGTCCCACTGTCCGCCTGTCTGACTCACTGTCCGCCTGTCTGCCTCACTGTCCGCCTGTCGGTCCCACTATCCGCCTGTCCGCCCCACTGTCCGCCTGTCCACCCCACTATTCGCCTGCCTGGTGGCGAGGCTGGCTAACGCTACCGCTGCGGCTGTGGCAGAGGGTCGGACGCGTCACTCTGAAGGCGTTGAAGCGGCGGCGGATCACAGGCGATGCGCTGCGCAAGGAGATGTGGGGGCTCGAGTCCGTCCACACCACGCCCATCAAAAGGTAGGCCGTGCAGCCTCCGTAGAGCGCGTGGCGGTCGCAGCGGCGGAGCTAGGTAGTTAGCTGGAGCGATGGTGAGCTCGTGATGTTCATGTATGACCATGCGGGGATCATGCGCGACAAATGCTAGTTCACATGCGGGTCGTGAAAGGTAGTTATTGCAGGTTTGCCGCACGATGTGAGCCGTCACGGCTTGGTATACGGAACAGTGGATGCAACGGGGTGCGTTCATTATCGGGTTAAACTACGGTTGTCATCTTGAGGGACGCATCGCGGATCACCTAACAACGACATTTCGTAGGGTGTGTGAGACGCGTGAGGACTTCCGCGCATGACAATGCGGTCTCCCCGGCAGCGCCAAGGGTCGCAAGGCCGGGCCGTCGGCGCGGTCCGGAGTCACCTCCAGCGATGCCAACGTGCTGCGCGCGCTGACCGGCGAGGCGGCGCCCTTCAACGGCGCGCTGACCTCGGCGCTGGACCAGCTGGCGCTGGCCCGGCCCCTGATGCCGGGCGTCGCGCCCGGTCCCGCGCCCGGCCCGGCGCCAGGTCCGGCGCCAGGCCTGGCGCCCGCCGCCGCCCGGAATGGCACTGGCCTGGCGGCGCACGCACTGCTCGGCGTCGGCGCCGGCCAGGTCACGAGCGCCGTGTTCACCCCCGGCGGCGGCCACGAGAACGCGGCTTTCGCGCCCGACCCGAGCTCCGACGACGAGCTGCCGGCGCTGTTCGCGCGCGCCGCGACGCTGGCGCCGACGCGCGACCGCCTGGCCGTGCCGCTCGACCCGTTCGAGGGTCAGGTGCTGGAGAGTTACCGGCAGCTGCGCTCCGAGCGGCAACAGGCCGGCGGCGGGCTGCGGCTGCCGCCGATTGGGCCGCCGGCCCGGCCGGCGGGCGACTGTCGACCGGCGCTGGTGGAGGAGCTGCCTCCGGCGCCGCTGCGGCCAGAGCTGGCCGCCGCGCTCAACCGCGCGCCGCCCAGCCTGTCGGTGCCGCCGCCGCCGGCGCCGGCCGTCGCGGAGCTCGTGCTGCGGCCGCCGCCGCCGCCGGCGGAGGGAGACGCCGCGCCGTCGCCGCAGCCGCCACCGCCAGCGATCACCGTGCAGGGGGACGACGTGAGGTGGGCGCAGGGCGCGGTGGCGCCGCCGCCGGAGGCCGAGTCGGCCCAGCGGCACCGGCTGTCGCGGCCCCGCACGGCCGTCTTCGACCGCGACCGCGTCCGTGTCCGCAACATCAACGCCATCGTGCCGTGGGAGGACGAGAAGCTGTAGCGGTGGCGCGAGCTCAGTGTGGGAGCGTGGTGACGTCATACTGGCCGTGGAGGACGGTAGTTCGCCTGGCGCGCGCGGAAGACGGCAAACCTTGACGCCGCCACGTCAGAGGGTGACACGCTGTGGCGTATGTGCGTCGGGGAACAGCGATGCCGTCGCAGTGGACTGGAAGAGGTATAATGAGACGTAATCTGCCGAGGAGGCAAGACAATCTCTTTATTATAGGCCACGCTTCTCCTCTCAGACTGAGGAGGTGCTGGCGACTTGCGCCGGCGGTGTGGACGGCATGCGTTCGAAAACTTCAATCGAGCGAGCGACATTGTTTTTGTACGGCCGTGCGGTGCGCATTTCCTATCGCGGCGCTCTTAGGCGACCTCAGCTACAGCCAATCAGCTGCACGCATCATGGACGGCTCCTCCTTCAAGCTGGTTGTGCACTGCATAGGTGATTGCTTTGATAGGCGATCTGGTTTTATAGTGGACTTATGACGGATTATATCAGGTGTTATTATATTTGCGTTTGCCCTATCTTTGAGCCAGGTGACAAATGCAGCCACACTCACAATGGTTTCATACACCTCCCTCGAAATAATAAGAATGAGGCACCTCTCTTGGATGTCGTGAATCGATGTACCCATTGAGCCATTGTCAAACTGCATGCAATCATTACTTATGTTGACCTTCAGGAGGATCAGGCACTAAAAGAAATATTCAGTTTTCGTTAGCTGCGGTTCAAAATGTATCTGGCTCAACTGAATCCCGACGTATCCCAGCATTCTTCGATGACTTGAGGTCTGCACACGCCGTCGGATCGCTCGATATAAGCCGCATTGCTGACCTCAATTGGTATAGATTGTAACGACGCTGATAGATCGTGTCGTCACGATATTGGAATTATACAAACTCTTCTGTATCTGTCTTGTCTTTAAACCATTCAAGGCTGCCTATATTGCTCGCTGTATTGGCAGCTTACGAAACCGCTTTTTGGAAGCCCGTACGTGAAATTATCGCAATTTTGGAAACGAAGCGCTTTACCTCACGGCAGGATGGTGTCGGCCATGCTTCATCCAAGCCATGATTTGTGATTTAGCAATACAGCCCGACCCATCACTCTTGGCATATCAATATTTTTGCAAGTGAATATCGGGCATGCGCGTAACTTTTACAGGCGTCACTCTGCCTAACTGTAGTTTGCATTTGTGCTTATTGTGTATGTCACTTTTGTTTGCCATTTCTCCTCCAGCAAGTGTGGTGTATTTCCATACATGCATAGCAGATAACAAGTGCGCGATAAATACATATTCGACCTAGATAAGTGAGCTTGAGTTTTTTGTTGCGCAATACCATATATTTAGGCGCATATCTTCCCAGCAATCCACTTGAAGAGCCAGAATGTTTCCGACAAATCATTCGTCAGAAAGTTCTTGTCAGCAACATGCCAGCTAGACTAATGTGTACGTGATGCATTGGCCTAGCAGGCATGTGGATAGGAGAGCTAGAAATTCATAAGAACGCCCTATTTTTGAGTGTGGCAGGTGGAGGTGTAGTAGTGTTCAGTGGCCACGTGCTAGATGTGGTGGAATATTGGCTGACTTTAGGCCTGTCAGGGCCATACAATTTCAGTCGATGAGGTGAAGCCATTGAATAGTGCGCGTTCGTGGTGGCTACGGCGGGACTACTTGTTGGAAACAGCTTTAGCATCTTGAGTTAATATGGTCATAATAAAGTGGACTGAAGCCCCAATATACCTCGCATGACCCAATCTGTCTTTCTCTAGCCCACGACATGTGGCTGAAGCCTGTTTAAGACAACGTGTCATTGTTAGCTTCGTGGGCTATTGCCGGCGCGCCTACGGGTCAGATAGAGATGACATTGTTTCATTTGTAGACGGCACGTTCGCGTGCGTCGCACGGCTGGTATCACATCTCTACCTGCCCTAATAGTCGAGACCTCGGGCGAGCCCAAATTTGCGCAGGATTCCGCGTGAGGGTCTGCACGCCTTGAGCTTGACCAATACTTTTACGGGCGCGATTGCCCGTTTCCTCCTGCGTTAGTACGTTAATCTCGTCTTGTTGCGATGCCTGGTTACTGAGATTCGGACCCGTTTTCCGCCGGTGTTCCTCAGGTTTTTGGCGATTTGAAAATTATACGTCTTCCATGTTAATTATACGAATGCGGGGTTGAAACAGTAATGCCATTGGACTGTTGCTGAAGCACGCCTACTAAATGAGGAATCTGCAGTGGGGTGTTAAAAAACATCGCGGTTTCACCTTGAAATAATCGAGCTACTTGTTCCTGACAATATTTTGGCGGTACAATTGGTGGTCGCAAAGATGCAACCCTGTCAAAAATGTCACTGACTGGGCATGGCAACTGAAGGCATGCTCTTTCCGGCCTGATGACTTAAGAATCGCTCGACCAGTGGCTTCGCTGGTGATCACACCAGCTGACACGCCGCCGTTCAGTCGGCATGTACATTTTAATAAATATTTGGTAGCGCATGATGACGTTTAGTATTCGAGAGTGCTTCTAGCAATGGACATGGCACGAAACTATGCACGAAGACAGCTCATTAGGATGAGTAAGGCTACACGGCAATGAACCGGTGCTGTCGGTAAGTTCACATTCGTGGGTTAGGTCAGGCCACCTGGTCTATGGAAGCAGTCAAGTATGTCCGATATGTGACAAAATCAAATTTCGTTTGTTCAGCAACAGAATTAAATAGGCAGTGAAGGCAAGGAGAGAGCAGTTTTGCACACCGCGGACCAGTCATTGAAGAAATCACTGCGATATGCGATGTACCCGCAGGGTACATCGCATCATAGGTTTTTTCATAGCGACAGCAGTAAGCGCAAAATAAGAGCACCACATGCATATTTCATTTGATGTCAGAAAGCTCTGAAGTTGTGCGTAAACCCTTTCGAGGGCATTTTGCGTGACGATTATATATGCTGTTTTGCCGCCCCACTCTCCTTTATAGGATCTAGCGGCAGGCGGTGTTCAATCTGCGATGGCCACTCCAACTGACAATCCCCTTTTTTACCCTAAACTTCCCTCCTATGAGTATCCCGAGGGCTGTCGTGGACGAGCAGGTCAAGGCCTCTTGCGTAATGAATCGCAGCATATCGGATAAATAAGACATAAGTTTCCTTCTGGAAGTGCACGATACTTGACATTTCGGTTCAGTATCATCGTTGACGACGCACGTGGTTCGGTTGAAAAACACCACGCTATTTATTTGCATTGACACCACGCGCACTCCGCAAGGCATCGCAGATCAAAAGCACTTCATAGCAACACAACGAGCACTCGAAGCCGCCCCGCGGAGCGTCTTCGTATAAGGAACTGCGCAGTGACAATATCGCCGAATCCAAGCAGCAAGAGTCACAGCCATGGCAGCCACTAGGTCTGCTCCACTCAGTCATCAGCGCCGGACTAGGCCTTAGCCACGGACGCGACATTCCTTGCCGCCGACCCCGCCGTGGACAGAGACCGTCACCTGTCCTCACCGAACCTGTTCCACTCGGTCCTCAGGGCCGGACCCCAGCCTCAGCCATGGGCGTGGCACTCCTCGCCGCCGACCCTGCCGGGAACAGAGACCGTCACCTCGCCTCACTGAGCCCCTCCAGCAGCTTGTAGTAGCAGAACTTGACGTCGAACTCCATGTCGTACCAGTAGTTGACGGCCACGCAGCCGTGCGACTGCCGCAGGTGGTGGAACCACAGCGACGGCAGGTACAGCAGGTCGCCGGCGGCAGTGCAGCGGCCGCGGCGGGCCGGCCGCCGGCTGCAGCGGGTCCCAGTCGGCCCAGGGCACGGCCGCGCCGTCCGGCGCCGGCTCCAGGCGGAACTGGCCGTCCGTCTCGCGGTAGGTGGCCGGCCGGCAGAGCCGGTGCGGCAGGCGCGGCCGCGCCGCCGGCGGCAGCAGCGTCACGTCTTTGTGGCCGCGCACCACGCAGTAGATGTTCTCGTAGTGGTCCTTGTGCACTGCAACGGAACGGTAGTGCGATGCGCGGCAGTCGCAACACGGGCGCAGCGGTCGATATAGAGGTGCAGTGTTTATGTACAGGTGCAGTCACATCAGGCTGGTGTCAGGACGAGTGTTCATTCACATACAACAAATCGGTTGATGAATTATTTAGCATGTGCAATGTGCCGTAGAGGGAGATCGGTGTCAGATCGGAAAAACTGACGCCAATAACCTCATCATTGAGTTATGTTCCGAGGAAGCTTCATCTAATTGCTGTTCATTAACACATATGATTAATAAGGGCATCTTGACTGCCAGCGCTAGATGCACCCATACCGGGCATACAAAGACAGCCAATCCTCAAATATCGGCCATCACGAGGATAATGATCTCTCAGTCTAACGTGAGAGATAGGAACCCACGTGACGTCACAGCTCTTCCGTCGCCCATCCAGAAGTTAACGGCGTCCGGCGACTTGTCTAGTGCCTCCGACATCCACGAGATGTCGCTAGGGCACGCCGTTCAGAAGCTCCGGTAGTTCGTCGGTAAGGTTGGAGTTCTGTTTCTGAATGTAGACACCGCCTGAAGAATAAAACATAATTATGCGAAGAAAACACGACATTGCGAAAACACCAAACAAAGCGAGCTGGGCGTGTGTTCGAGTCACCATTAGGCCAAATTACTGTCGATGATTGGACACAACGGTATGATCCATGCCACATAACCAGACGATAAAATCTTCTTAGTTTGAATGTGAGCCGGAAAGCAAAAGCAGCTTACAATTCACATTTTTATTTGCGATGACGCAGAACGCCATGATTATTTTAAGCGGTGGGCGTGCCTGACAAGCAGCCCCAGCCCTCGTGCGTACAACAGCAACAGCAAGCTACAACAGCTCGAACCCCACGTCTGACAGCCCCAGCCCGGTGCCTATCAGCTCCAAGCCACAAGTCCTATACTGATACGCAACCCAGTCATCCGATGGTTCGTTCAGTCAGATCGATGACAACTGCCCACCGACAAGACGCCAAAGTGGCCGCCATTTTTGAAGTCTGCTCACATCAATGAACAGATGATTTACCTCATTGGGGGGGGGAGGGGTGGGGGGGGCAAGCCGCCCACAACGTGGAAATGAATAGTGAACAAAGACGCAGGTCGGTCCTCCACCCGCCCCCACACATTGTGCTCCTTCTATGGGCTTCACAACAACGCCCTTAAATATCCGGGGATCTACATCGGCTGAATAGATAAGTTGCCACTGGCTCAAATTGCATCCATGCGTCTTCCGTTTCATTCAATTAAACCAGATGAATGGCACGTTCACGGCGAGCCTGCGCTCGAGCATACCGTTGTGCCTGCTGGGCTCCTCCAGAATGTCGAGGAACTGTGCCATAGGCATGCTCCGCTCTCCGGCAGGGCCAGGTACTCCCCGGCAATGGCATCGGCGTAACCGTCCGGAGAGTAACCGCCACTGTCACCGGCTTCTCGCCAAAAGTTTCTCTGGAACGAGCGTACCAGTGCGGGCAGTTGGAATGTGCAGGCAGGAGGAAGCAGAAACGGGTCAGGGGGAGGGGGGGCAGTAGTGGCTCTCCTCCCGAAGGCTGAACATGAGTAGTGTGGTGGTACATGGAAAGGGAAATTCATGTAAATATATATATATATATATAATATATATATATATATATATATATATATATATATATATATATATTAGCCTACCCAACTGCTAGCAGGGGTTAGTTACATGAACAGGTAATGCATATCACAGGTCACAATGCGAAGGGAAACCGGAGGGTACACGACAGCGAGCCCAGGTTATTCCGAGGCTGCTGGAAAAGAACCGTGAATTCATGGTATGTTGAGCTCGAGATCCGTCACACACATTGTATAAGCGTGCTGGAGCTGTGATTTGAATATGCGAAATCCCGTAGGTACACTTTCGACAGCTTAGAGCTCTACAAACAGGTAACCAGAAGGATGGTCACCCAAAAAAGTTCGAAAATTCGCTGGGACACGTGCAGCATCTTCCTCTGGCATACAATGACTGTTCGCAGCGTCAAATCGCCGCCGGTCGGAGCCTGGGCTGGACCCGCCGCCTCAGCATCCTCGCGCCGGAGGGGGTGTCTCCTGAACGATCCGAGCGCCCGCGTCGCTGCACATCTCGGTGGGGGCTGCCTCCGCCCTCCGCCGCGGGTCTGAGGTGCCTGGTGGCGGCCGCGCAGACCCGGTGGGTGACGTGGAGCACGCCGGTCGCGTCGGCCGGCGTGCGTCCCTCGGCATACCTAAACCATGTCATAGGTGGGCGCACGTTCAGACGGCTGATACGAGTGGCGATGGTGGAGAGGAGGATCCTCAGAGCGCTAGCACGCGACCCAAACGGCCCATGCCTACCTGAATAACTTGGGTGTCCATTGTTTGAAGGCCTGCCAGTCTTTGATAGCCCCCGGACGATTGAAGGGCTTGTTCTGCGAGAGTACCAGTCTCGAAGAAAAGCTGTCGGCGACGGCACCTCCGACAGCTCGGCCACATGTCCGTCGACAGGGAGGCAGAGGTCTGAAGACAAGTCGACCAAATCCGTATTGATCGGCACAGACGACTCCTGTCATGGCACAAATGATAACTGAAGCACCCTACATCAGCCAGGCAGACGTCCCGGCGTGTACTCCTATCCTAGAGCAGGGGTGTCTAGCTCGTAAAGGGAACCTCTCGAGGAGCCAGCGCAGGCCTCCTTAAAACAAATTTGGGGCTCCCTTTCCAGAGCATAGGGCTAGTTTATTAAAAACGTCGCTCATGATCCAGAGAAAAAGGGCTTCTTAATGTAAAAAGGGTCTTTTGAGACCGATTTATAACTCTCCAGCTCAATTATGGCGTCCCATTGACCTTAGTTTTGGTACGCTATGGGTAGCTACAGCGACATAGGTTGAGA